GGGGGGGGGGGGGGGCGGGAAGAAGGGTGGTCACTCTTTGTAATGAAAAAGTTATAAGCTGATTTTATCTCGCACGTTTTTATCCGTGCCGGATGATAGAGAACGGAATATCACTATGCAAAGTTATCGTTAAATATATGTGTGTAATCTCGCCGTCAGTGCGCGCTCATAGAGATTTTCATTTTCACAGTACTTTTATTGTAGATTACAGTATTCGATTCCAAAAGTTCAAAAGTGTTACATTACGGCGGATCAGTGTCTTGTTTTCTATATAAAACAGGAGCATAGCTTTTTCTTCGTTTCTAACATAAATCGGAGCGATTTATTCGATTTAATAAAATATGGAAAAACTGTATCCCATCAACTATATGATTTAACCGCTTGAGAAAGATGAAGAGAACACGTGTCTCGACTTTTCCTGATAAAGGTTAGGCGCTAATTCGCTATTGTTGCACTATATTCCCAAACGTTGTAGGAGAAAGTTCTTGAAGAAGGCTCGCGACAATCGCTGCGACTTCTGAGAATGTACCGACAAGATTTTCGAACGTGTGTACCCATGGTAAAAACTTTCTTCTTTCCCGTAATTTTTCCCCAACTTTTTTCGTATCCCATCGCACGCAACGAGCGAGTGATATCGTATTCGCGATAAAGTCCCGGGGATTTATTAAGGATTTACCGGGTCGAATAAAGTTTCTTCAGTTTATTAGAAAGTTCGAAAAACTTGATTGCGCGATGAAACAATGTAGGTTTCATTCAGGTTTTCTGCGATAATACTTCGGATAAATCCGAAAGCGTCACGTCGCTGTCTTCCCCGACTGTTCCAATTCCTTGTCTCTTTCTCATTAATAAAATATTATTAATCTCGTAAAAGTCTCCCAGGGAAGGTTGGTGGATGCACACTCTCTTTCTCTCTTGTTCTCTCCACACAAAATCACCGTTATATCTAGCATATTTCTTTTTACCGAACAGGTGAATAATTCACGTAACAACTTCGTCGAAACATTCAAATACGAGAATCGTTTTGTGAAATTTACAGGCGTGTGCAATTTTTAGAGACTTTTTCAATAGCGGGGAGAGAAGTTCTCGCCGTGAAAAAAATTCTTATGTTAGTTTAAAGCACGTATGTTAAAATGGAAGAGTGTTAGTTCAGTGATACGAGTTAGTGGTGAGCGCTACTCTGCGCATGTAGCCTGACGTATAATGATAATTAATAGTGCCATGACATTACCATGATATTTCCATTTGTTTCGAGGCTTTCGTGCTGACGAGATTGTCGCTGAGCACGAAAAAACGACTAATTGCTACTTCTCGTAAAATAAATCACTCTCTCGCGCAGAACAATTTTTGATAAATGTAATCGCGAGAGCATAATCACGCTCCCTCAAAATAGTCTCCCATATTTTTTCTAATGAACTTTCGCGTTTTCTTCTTTTTTCTCTCGATCGTGTCATTTATAGACAATATTTCAATTAACCATTCTCGATCGTAACACGATCTTTTGCGAGGAAAAGAAAGTGGGAAGAAAATTTCGCAGAAGTAATATCCTCGGTATTTCCGAGTCACGGTTCTATCGACTCCTTCACGGCTCGACTTTACGTAGTAGTAAACATTAAAGAGGTTTTAATCGATTATTTCCGTGTTCTTCAATGAGCGTCGTAATGAACCTTTGACCCGGATATAAATATAACAACGTACGATTATGCGCATCCTCGAGCTGCAATCGATCGAGTTAGAATCTTCGAGGATGTAACATTATTACGTGTTTTTTTACATTCGAGTAAACTTGATCTCTGTCAAATTGTACATGCTTATTTAAAGCACGTTGTCAGGCAGGATTTATCAGGTACTACTAATCTTGAATGTTAAGTACTTGGAAGTGAATGGTAAATTTCGAAAAAGAATTTTGTAATTGTGCAACATGTTTTACTTTGGTCACAGGCGAAATGATATTTTTGTTCAACAAGGCTGTCGGATCGAGAAAGTGAGTGCATCGCCTCGTGGCTGCTTTCCTTGTATATTTGCGCATCATATTCGTGTAAACTTTGATCAAATATGAAATTATTCGACAAGATAACGATCGTACTTGGCTGTAGGCCTAAGGTACCGGCGGCGTACAGAGCTTCGACCGCTGCCGCGTATTATGCGATTTGAGAAGGAAAGAGAGGGAGGAGAACAGAGAGAGAGAGAGAGAACGGGGACTTACGAGGTCGATACGAACCAATTTCCTCTTCGCCACCGCCGTTGCACTCGGAGTGCGCGGAGCTTTTATCCTCTCCCTTTGCCCAAGTGTGAGTTTCCCATTACAGACATAGAGAGCGAGAAAGGAAGAGCGGATGAACGAACGAGTGAAACGTTTATTAATGTCCTAGGGCAAAGTCTCTAATGAGAGACAAGCCACTGAAAATACATTTGAGACAAAGTTTATGCAAGTCGACGAAAAGTGTGCAATGGAAAAAATAATAAGACGTGATTGTTAATGATTACGAGGGGAATCCCAATAAATTAAATTTAACAAGGTGTACTACCGACTATTTTTTAAATGTACCTCTGTGTGTGCACGCGCGCGAGTGTGAGTGGGAACTGAAGTAAAATATCAGAGAAATAGAGGTAGGAAGGAAAATACTGCGGAACAATGTAGAGAATGAAAACGTTATAGCGAAATATAGATATGAGATTAAAAAATACCGTAAGAATGCAATAGTCATTATATAAAAAAATTCAATCGCAGTTATGTGATAAGAAACTGTACAAACTACCTTCAAAGACAATGGCGATGCTGGAGAGAGAAAGCGAATTCCATATGGAACATGCTGAGCTGAGAAAGGAGTAGTGAAAGATGCTGGTATAACATTGTGATAGTTACAATAGTACTGAAGAGCAAAGTCCTAGTTAAAGGAAGAGAGAGAAACAGATACATCTATTGTTTACATTCCCAGAGTACAAAGTTTTAATATTTGACAATGTGTGAATATCATTGATTAATTTTAAAAGTTTTTATGTACATTGAAGCAGAATGGAGGGAGAAAACGCCGTTCTAACGAAAACAGACGGCGGAAAAAGAGAAAGGGGGGGGGGGNAACAACGAAGTGTAAAAGTCAGAGAAAGCTTCCATGAAAAGAATACTTGGACAAGTTCTTTAAAAATAAGATAACAGTTATATATGTTGTATATTTAAATCATTTGTTTGTTTTTACTTATGAAAGAAGAAATAAATTGAAAATATTATTATGTTATTACACAGACGTAATAAATGTTGATTTTCCGATATAAATAGACACGAATTTCATTCAATTACAATTTAGTTCGTCTGACTGTATGAGTGCTTTTAATTTTTACCTACTGTATAAAAAGTACAATTTTCTACAAGAATGATCGAAGCTTATTGAGAGAATAAAAGGGAGAATGATTTACCTATCGGCTTACGCCGTCGCATGTAATTTTCACGGTAAACCAAAGGAGCCAGGATCCATCACCTCACCATCAAGATCGGCCGACAATCCTCTTCGTACCAGCTCACTCATGGGACCGCCGGGAGTAGCAGAAGTAACAGCAGCCTCCGTTGGTCGGGGCAGGCAAGTCGTTCGATCACGCATCACCAGACAAATAGAGTTACACAGCACTTTAAAACGCGTCTCGCCGATGTTGATGCTCGATCTCGCACGAGTCCGTCAACTTTTTTTCTCCTCCTCTTCCTTAATTGTTTCGTTTTCCCTTCTTTTCCTTCTTCTTCGTCCTCTTCTTCTACTTCTTATTCTTCCTTTTCTCCTCTTTTTTCTTCTTCTATCGATGTCTGTTCCTCTTGAAATACAATACCACAATTTCTCTTTCCCACCAATTTTTTTTCTTATCTTCAGTTTTTTTTTTCTTACGCGCTTGATTCTTCTTATTCAATTGCTTTCAGATTAAGCAATTATTAACTTCCGTGTTAATGTATACAGTGATCGAACGACTTTTCATCAATCGTACTGTAGTGGGAAAGATTTTCGAGAAAGTTTCCTCCCGACCGCAAACTTTCTCGCTTCTTCTTCTCACGACAGACTTGCGCACCCTCCCTCCTTTGAGTCCTGAACACTGTATGATCACAATGATACCCAACGTCTTATCACCCTTCTCTGTGCGGTGAAAATTTCGCGGGGGGTTTCCTACCTAGGACGTGCAACCGCGTGTTGCTCCGAGTTTTCGGAGGTGGCGATGCTTTCGCGAAAGGGCGACCGCGTCGGGGAAGGGGGTGGATCGACAAATAGAAAAGGGGAGAAAAAAAAGAGAGAAAGAGGAGGAGAGAGAGAGAGAGAGAGAGAGACACGGAGAAAGATAGAGAGAAAAAGAGAGAGACAGGGGGGAGGGGAGAGAGAAAAACTCGCGTAGGCACTCGCGATTTCGCGAAGCGTCGCGACGCAACGCAACGCAACACCAAGCCAGCTGAACGTTCGTCGTGCGACTAGACTGGGGTTCTTGCCGTTGACCCGGAACCACCTCGCGGCGCGCTTGCGCCGCGTCGCGAAATTACTCGCCCTATCCGGAAAACCAACCTGCCGACGTATGGTGCAATATATCGTCGTGACGCCCTAATGTGTGTAAGAATTACTACTCGGAATGTTCAGAACAATCCGAGTATCGATATCTCTCTCATCGGAATCCGAAGGTATATTCGGGATATGCTTCTCTCTGTGTGTGTGTGTGTGTGTCTAGCGAAAATTGATAACTCACCCCTCATCCTATGAGCCGAAGGGAATTTTGTTTGAAATTTGCGTTGAAGGTGTAACAAGAAAAACTCTTCTCTGTGTGTATAGATTAAAAAAAACCACATATAAATATTCAACAACGTGAATGCGCACGAACATCTTTGCTTTCTGATAACGAACACTTGAAGTGACACCGGGAAATACAATAAATTCCATTGCGCGAGGGTGACACGTGTATGACAGATTTTTCGACCGATATTAGTCAGTATTCGCAGCAACAAGTGTTGGAGAGTTGAGAGAATTGAGAGAAGGGGCCGACGCTACAGTACCGCACGCCGAATTATCCGCCATTCTCACCCCCTTGTTGAATACTCATTGTGTCGCTCTCGTTATCATTGCGGAGCAGAAATCCACTATACGCTGGCGTTGAAGTGACGCGCGTATTTCGATATCGCATTTTGGCTCCATTAGTGCGCGTGAATAAGTGCAACGATAAAACTGTGAACTTGGAACAGGAAGAAAGACAGGAGGAGGCACCTGTATATTCGAACACTCCTCCGATCGATGTCGGTTCCAAAGATCAATAACAGATTGCTTCTTGGTATTCGAGTACTCAAGTAATATTCATTATATCACGCGATTCATGCAGTTTCGTCCTAGCAAACTTGAAAGCCATAAAAACACGAGCTGCCATTAATTTCCAGACTTTAGACTACCTTCGTGATATACCGATCGTTAAAGCGAGCAATCAATAATCGGCCGAATGGAATTATAAAGTTTAGGCGCGCGCGAGTTCACTATGAATCTCGCGGTGACTTTACCCGAGAAATTTAAGGTAGTTTCGACAGCGAACGACGAAAGCACGTACGTCCAGTTAAACTACTCGTCTGCGTAGTTGACGAAATTCACAAAGGCTCAAGAGTTGATTGAAAGGTCAAGAGAATTTATTTATATTTCAACTCATTTTGCCATCCTTAAATCGAATCGAAAGTATTTTGAAAAGTTCATTATTACCTTGTTTTCGCGATGCCAATTTGTTTTCTCACAGTATTTTTGCCGTGCCTCTCATGTTGCTTCGTCAGTGATTTAACGAAAATTAGAGCCCTGAACCCCAATTTTTACGTGCGCTTTAGAAATGCCTATAATTTGCAAGTTCTTCCATGAAATCGTGCGGATTACGTTTTAATCACGGTCGAACGATAGGGATCCCCCCTGACTAAACGCAGGTATTCAGATTTCGGAATTAATATCACGTTCCAGCGAATGTCCATCAAGATTACATGCGCGGACGATCGTAACGTCGAGGTAGAGTGCGTAGTGCGTTTCGATGTACCTGTATTCGTCGCAAAATTGATCCCTGAAATTCGAGCCATTCGACGAAGCCGACGATATGCCTGCGCGATGATCGCACACTGACGAACGAGAAGCGAAACCTATCGTTGGTGTGTACATATGGTATCTCCATCGATGGATCGTCTTTTACGATACAACCAGGCTGCTGTTACCTAATTTTTCCTCGTGGTGATTTCACTTTCGAATACGCGAAGTTCTAACAAAATAAATCATCATTAAGAATAGATAACACGACGAAGGAATCCGAAAGCAAAGCAAAAGTTTCTTGTTTGACGCGGCATATATTTTACAAGTTCTACCAGAGAGAGAGAGAGAGAGAGAGAGAGAGCAGAGTATCGATTAACCATCACTCGATTCTGCGTTAGATTAACATTCTTCTCATCTAGTGACACCACTACATTATTTAGTTGCCGAAACTAAATCTGACTGCGATGATATTATTTTCCGAAATACAAATGCGAATACGTTCGTGCTTCTATCATCGAAAAGCTTATTTTTGTGAATTTTCCCGAGTTTCGAACAAATCCGTGCTTCGAACTTATTGATCCAGCTGCCGGTTCGAAAGTCAGGCAGAGTAGCGCGTTCGAACGCGTCGTTTTTCTTCGCAATTCTAAAATATACCGCATCACCATCTTTTTAACTTAAATTGGGATAAACGGATAAATCAGAATGTAATATATGACGTAATTTATTAATTGCTTTTCTTTTATGTAAATTATTTGCCTTCTTGACCAGGCCCACCAGAAGCCTCCGTATAAATCAAACGACAAAAGCAGATGATTAAAATAACGGCGTAATTTGATGAAGAATACGCCTGGCATAATGAGTCTCCGTTAGCGAAGTGGAATCGAATGCACGATTTTCCGATAATTTCGCGTGTAGAGACTTTTTCATGCACGTAGTTCGAAGCGTAACGGAGCTAAAGTAGATTTTGCGATGCGATGAAGCGCATTAATCGAGTCCAAGAGCGTAAAACTCCCACACGCGAATTCACCGGCGATTTAATACACGCGTATCACTCACTATTTACCTGTTTCCTCGTTGATTCGCTCATTCACCTCGCTCACATTGCGTCTTGGGTTTCATAGACTTGAGATACATTGTATAAATACGCGAGTACTCGTTCGTGTATTGAAATCAAACTTTCGAATCAATGAGGAAAGTGAGATTAGATATAAGTATTTTTCATATCAAATATCTACTATAATATGAGATTTTTTTTCAATTAACCTCGAGTAGAGGGGATTTATCTCATTACTTCACCATTATACTATATAATCTTTTTACATCACCGGCACATGTATTCGATTATGCATGACATGAATTTTTGAAAGAGGATTTAAAGCGAATACGATATTTTTAATTCAACGGTGAAAAGTTAAAAAATGAATGAAAGACCAAAATATTGTGGAAGAATTACACGCCTGAATATTGCAAAGCCGATGTACCTGCTGCTTCAAGCTCCTGCGCACAGGATTTATCAACCGACGCGACACGGCGTGACGAGGGGAGAGCAGAGGACGGAGGTGTGGTTACGCATTTTAGATGCACTTATGAGACTATGTCGAGACCTAGTCTCTAAGGCATCGAGGTTGCATATTACAAAGGGATAAGCCGCCAACCGTTGCAGACACGTGTAAAACAAGTATACGAAATAGGTAATCCGCTTACACTATGTCTTTCTGGATACGAGAGAAATATTTAATCAGGAGCAAAGAATAATTCGAAGAACAAAAACTCTAAATCACGATAGTTTGTGAAACATTTTTTTTTCTTTTTTTCAAAAGAGGAATTGGATTGTGTAGCCAAATGAAAAAAGAGTAGCTTAGAATCTGATGCAATTCTGAATAAAGATGAACATAAAAAAGGCGACGGTAATTTTTTTTCCATTTAATTCCGTTTTACATACGACAATATTTATCCGAACTCGGCAATATTTATGACGCGACAAATTAATCGTACAATTACTCATTTCCTCGACTTCATTTTTCATGCTACAGAACGACAACATCTGACATGAATTTTCATCACAACGTGGTTCAGTGCCTCCGTTTCTCTTTACACAAACAAAACTTTCTTCATTACTCATTTCTCCGTTGTAACGCGTTCGCACGGGAAATGTCTACTTCGTCAGTCTACCCTTGACAGGTCCCATACATTGTTGGTTCCATTTTCTAATAAGGTGCTTTCGCTCTCTGCATCGCCCACCCCCGTCACAATGCGTTGACAGTTTCTTCATTTCGTGCCTCTAGTCATTTCGAACAAATATCTCGAATTTTTTGTTGACGTTGGTATAAGATTCAAATAATATTTGAATAATTCGAAACAATACGGCTTTGAATATTGTCAAACGCAGGTGGGAAATTTTTATAGTGCGAAAATTCCATGCAACAGTGTGTGCAATATATAAGAAGTCGGCCGGTAATACAGACGATTCTTCATTACGTCCGTCTAAGCGGTGACATTACGAGAACGCGAGGCAATTTACGCGCTCGCAGTAATCTAACACGACGGGCTGAAACAATTAATCTCCGGGATAGTAGTAGCCGCGGATTTGAAACTCGGGCTATCGCGTTCGACGTATCGCGCTGTGAGGGGACAGAGTGGAATTGGTTGGTCAGAACCACAGACTCTACCTAGGTCCTCCACGTGTCTCTCAAATTATGACGCACTCGCATCTGAGAACGCAGTCACCGCGACGATAGAACAATGTTGTCGCAAAAGATATCGTCGAAATTTCTCTATGTATGAATTTTAATTCTCGTCGAACACCGCGATTTTTCCTCTCCCTCTAGAGCTCATCTTTCGTCAATTTATATTCCATCAAGACAATCGAGTCACGGTTGTAATTAGCAAAGTGAAGTTTTGAGTGCGAGCCTCACTCGAAACGCCGACCGCAATCTCGCAGGGCTTAACCGCGAAATTATGCGATTTAGCTCGCTTGTATCCATAATTTACACAACGCGCGCGAGCGCATCGTCGACGATCATCGTCGTCGACGCGTAAACGTCGTAATCTACGCTACCTCGCGAGACTTAAACGAACCGTATAAATAATATACGTTGGAGTATTCCAGCTACTCTGGAAAATATCCCATCGGTGATATAAAATCGTTCGAAAATTACGATTTATTAAAACGGATATTCTTATTTCAGAAATATTCGTCGAATGTCTCCATTGATCCTAGATCTAACGCTAGATATCTCATTCACGCAATTATTCGCTGTTATTTCACTTCGGATATTCTGCTGTAACGTTGTGCTCCTCTCTTGAATGGGAAACATCATGGTTTTTACTATATCTAATTGTTCTACCTCATTATACTGCTTTATAGTCAGATCCTCAGACATTTTTTACCAAAAAAGTTCACTTTTTACATTATTATCTATGTAAAAGATCGCATGTTTATAATTCTCTCTAACATGTGAGTGAGTAAACGAACGCGCCAGTAGTCATGCTCAAACGGCTCCCTCCTGGTCGGTCGCGCAAGTAGATACAGACACGTTGCGGTCTGACATGACCGCGCGCAGCGTTCGTGAAGAAATACGTTTATTATCAAAGTCATATTACTTATATTGAAAAAGTTCATCCAATTCTAACGATATATTAAAATACAAGTTACACAAAGAGATGTGTTCACCGAGATTTGTATCAATTCTTTCTGTATATATGACTCGGTAAAAGACTTAAAACCTAAACTGGACGTTGCTTATGATGATTAATTGATTCATACGACTATGAATAAATCAGTTAATATATAAGTGAGAAATATATTAATTCACACGAATGATATATTAATTGCGTGCGTTATGCTTGTAACGCCGGCAAATTATGTAACCAGTTAATCGGAGTTTGCACTCGAGCGTAAACTCACGCGTGTAATCGAAAATCGTTGCTCCTGGGCCCGAGCTTAATTCCTTGCCTCCCGTCTCGTTAAATGATTAACTCGGAATCGATCGAGGTCGGAGCGACGGATATATCAGGTCGACCTGATTGGATCTGATCAGAAAACTGGCTGACACTTAACGTGCGCGAGAATTAGTGAGGCTCGAAGCGAAAATGTCATGTCTAATGAATGCTGGGGAAATCGCGGTGGAGTGGAGTGCTCTCCACTCTAGTGTAAAGAGAAGTTCCGTTAATAGTACGTGCGTTAATAAAGTAGAAGCAACTTAATATCGTCTTTCATATAGTGAAATATCTGAAATTGTCAATTGGCAATGAGAGAAATATCAAATAGTTAACAAATAAATAGAGAGTTTGATTTTGGATTGCGATAAATTTGAATGGGTTGAACCCGTCGTTGCGCTCACCCATACATACGGACGGTGAATTTCCGAGCGGACGATAACAAATCGTGGCACGAAATTTCCGAATTCCGGTATTCGCCGACAACGACCCCAATTGCCGGTTTGCCGCCGTGTGGTCGAACATGTTTTGTTCAAATCGTCCGAATCGGCGATGAATATAGCCGGAAATACCGAAATTGTCGGACGGTAGTATCGCACCGCGAGAAAATCTCGTCAGACAATACGGAATTTTAAGTTAATCGTCGGGTACATCTGTCGAGTACGCCGAATGCGCTAATCGTGTTTTTATCCTCAACGTTTTACAACGCAATATGGACTTGGCATCATGTTATTTTAATTCTTAATCCCGCATTAGTCCAGTTTCACGAAAGTACAGTTATTTAATAAAATGAAGTACAACACATTTTTTAAAGCAAAAAGTGATGCAAATTGTAAGCAGCATAAATACGTTCTGATACAAAACAGAGTTAAAAAAAATATGATCTTTTATTTTAGTTCTAATATGAAGGGAAGGGGTATAGAAGATCGTGTATTCAAAAAGACACGCCATTTAACATGCTCAACAACCTAGTGAAAAAATAATCCGTTTATCTCAAATACTCTTCGAAATAAAAGGCAAAAATCATATTTCCAACGCGTGCAACGGGATTACGTTTTGCTTACAACATGCATTGCGTTTCAGAATTTTAACACTTAATCGGTGACAAGAGAGCATGTCGTAATGAGCATGTCGAAATCGTTCACCAATTGAATTAACTCCCACGTCAGATAAATGAACAAACGATATTAATCACGATCAGCGATATTAATGAAAATTTATCCTTTTCTTTAGACGCAAATTATTTACGGGGCTTGTCGTCGGAAAGCAATAAATGCATTCTTCTAGCTCCGATTAGAACTATTAACGTATCATATCGACGCAATGTGCAGCACATAGGGAATTCGTTGGCAACTTGCGAGTTGCGGACGGACGAAGGTATGCACATATGCATATGTATGAGCCAATTAACGGTTGAACGAGTAATAACGTACTTCCCGATTCGGATGATTGTGTTATTTTCCGCTTGAGCTCACGTAGGTTACAATTCGTTTGACGAGTGTAAGACTTTGATCTTCTATGGAAAAGTGTGTGTGTGTTTATCTTAGCTAATTTGAAATAAGCATTGAATTAGAAAAGCGATATGTAAGGAATACAAATGATCCAAGTTATACGAGTTGCAAGAGAATGAATCTGCGTTGCGAACTTGTCGCTTTCTAAATGCTTCTTTGAAGATTTACCGGATTTGTTTAATAATCATTCGATACTACTCTCCTCTAACCAATGAACAGTCGACGAAGCAATTTCTCTAATTTCTCGTATCTGTTTTTCGATCGATACTTTTTACTTTATTCTTAGCCCAGACGTTCGTATAAAAGCAGCGAATCACTTCGTGCAATTTCGAATATTTATGTAGAGATGAAAATACCAAACCATAAATAGCTCCCAATGCAGGAGTAGCAAATATGTACTTTTTGTTTCTAAACGGCACTGTGCAGAAAAAATCGATAAGCCGTCCAGATAGAAATAAATCCTTATGTAATTGAAGAGTTTACTAAATATACCCATATTCTTTTGAAAACATTTTCTTTTTGTAACGTATGTATATTACAAAGGTGTGGCAAATTTCGAAGAGTGTAATTATTTGTATAGTATTGATCGAAAATATCGATCCAGTTTTTTTCTCCTCATTCTAAACTATAATGTTTATATATGAAAAATATAAATTTAAAAAATGAGTGATATAGATTCATGGATAAGGTGGAAGATTACCGAGTTCATCTCGAGACATTACTCCAGCGGAATGAAGCCAGAGAGCAATTTACTTCCTTCTCCCGGAACGCTCTAAAAAATGCTCGTCGAAAACTATTCCCAGGTCTCGGTAATTCGTGGAGTTTGCTTGCCTAGCGAATATATTCCGGGGATTATATCAACCGCAAATTCTGGGCACGTAACAGCCGTACAGACGAGAAAAACCTACCTTGCCCGATACATACGCATCTTGAATTTGTGGAAAATTTTCGGACTATGAAAAGCGTGGATTCGCGTATCAGATATTTACTCCATGATGAAGAATTTGTTCGAGAAGGTACATTAAAGGCGTATTTTCAGCACCGCTACTTGTTATTCCAAAGAAAATAAATAGCGTGTGGAAAATATTGAATAAAAACTTTCGAATGACGATTTTTATCTTATTATTACTCTAGCAAATTCTCGATATTAGTATTTTGGACACTTATCGGCAGTGTGTCAGTTCGCGGCGAATAAAAACATGATTTAATATAATAAGTATAAAATTTATTTTATTATATTATCTCACTGATAATAGATATGATAATCCAAGAACAGCCTACAAACAAGAATTATTGAAAGATTTTTAAATACGCGCCCGTAACATGTATGTGATACAGATAACCGTATTCACGATTTTCATTATTTAATTATCCACTTTTTTATATTTTCTTTAACTCTAGAAAGCAATTTCTCCGTGTAGATGTCGTCATATTGAAACCACCCCCACAGAATTTCACACTGGATACTAATACACCCGGAAGGATCGGCTCGTAGGAAGATTTCGCGTCATCTCTCTCTTTCATCTTTTGGAACTTCCTTTTTTGAGCGTGGTACTTCTTTTTTAATTCGCACATTTCATTAGCCATTTTCGTCATGTCACCTTTGTACTCTCCCACTTGCGTCTCGTACATGTTTAACTCAGCGACGAGACACTACGCGAAAAACAGATGTTTGCAACCTCGTAACAGTAGTTATATATAAAAACAAGTTAGCTTAGGTATGCGGGATAATAAGTATAACACAAAGAATAAAACGTCTTCTTTGAAAACTGTTCAACTTTAACTTTTCTATTTCTCACTTTCAGCTTTTCTCCTCTTTTGCGCAAGGCACTTCGAACTTCATCCACACTCGCCACCGCCTGCGGATCCCGTTGCTTCGACAAGACACCGCGAAGGTTCATGTATAATTTTTCAACGTCTTTTATCTTCTTCTCCTTATCGATTATATTGTCGGACATTTTTAAAATGCGTTTCTGTAGAATCTGTACTTTCTTGACGAGCTCAAAAGTAGTGGGATCCGTGCCCTGGTGCAAAAAAGAAATATCATTTTATTCTGTTATATCTTGGTTGGTTTCACGTCTAAATTTGGCTGTTATCAAATTACATAATCTGCCTCGTAAGCTTCCCTCACCTCGAGCTTTCGCCATCTGTGTACATTTAACGGCGTTTGAACCTCCTCTTCGAGTGCGGTGACTTTGAGCCTCTCCTTCGCCAGGTCACGATTAAGATAAAAAACTTCTTGTCGTAAGTCGCTAACGTTGACGATATTTTTGGTAAGGAGGACTTTTTCCACCCTCAGCCTCTTCACCTCGCATTTCAGCAATCTGATATCTTGCAATTTCTGGTTATACTGCGTTTCGCCCCGTTGAAGTGTGGTATTTAGAACCTAATCGTAAATACAATAAGTATTGGTGACGCTCATTCACTCGACAAGCAATTTTATCGCTTTGATTTGGTGGAAATCGGTTTAGAATTTGAGAAAAAAATAGATCTTCGTAACGTACACTTGAAAGTGTAACTGTTGTGAAAAATAGCATGCAGGAAGAGAAACGGTCGGTGATATAAACAACATTCCCCCGATGAGCATTTGTGCGCCAACGAACCTTGATTCTGCCGTACTGAAGGCTCAGCTCATCGTTTCTGCGAACCAATTGCGTACCGAGAATATCACGTTCATTCATCACGTTGTCTATGTCTTTCTGTCGGCGTCCGATGATCACGTGCGCCTGTTGAACTTCCCACCTGAGATACTTTTCTTCGCGCTTCATCTTCTCGATTTCGCGTCGCAAAGTCGACAACTCCATGCGGCAAGATCGTAAATCGACCTTGAGGTCCTCCTTCTCCTTTTCTATTCTCCCTAGAACTGGAAGACAAATGATTTTCTGAGCAGCGATCATTCTATGCCCCTGATAACGAAGCTCCGACGAGCTGTACTGATAAATGATGATTTTTTGCTGTTTTGACTCATCGAATTCGCAATTCGCAAAAAGTGGCACGCGATTTGAAAGATTATCTTCATGTTTTTCATCTCCAACGTTAATGTTCCTCAAATACGAGTAAGCATAAAAACAGAAGAAATTTTTTTTTTTATTTGACAGAAAATTCGATATTTTAAATCGCTTACTGAATTCTTGCTTAACGAGATTGGACTCTTTCGTGGCTATATCCTCCTTCAGCTGTTCAACCTGCTGGCTCGTTATCTTTAACTTTCTCCGCAAATCCTTTACTTCTTCCTGCGTCTCTGTTAGGTTCTTTCTGTATAAATTTCGCTCCGCGCGGATGACCTCGAATAAGCTTTGCTGTTGACGGTACTTTATCCCGGCCTCCGCCAAACTTTTCTTACAATCGGAAATCTCTGTTTGCTTCAGCCTGACTTCGTTTAAGTGACCCTCTATCTGTCAACATGTCGTAAATTAAACGATCGTTCACATCGCTTCTACCATCGGATTATTCGTCCGCAATCAGCTGTGGCTGCAAATCGATGTACTGTTTACTAAAACAGCTGTTGTCTAAATTGAAAATTACTTCCATTAGGGCGATAGAGATTATTTTATTCAAAGTAAATCTTGTCGATACTTATTACTGAATATGTACTTCTTGTTATTTTACAATTGTCACTTGTATTGTTATTATTGCCGTTATTTTCCTATAAAATGTTATTTAAATCATTATTATGAGTGAACGATAACGTATTGTCACTTCAATTCAGTGTCTCCTCGAATCAATTTTTTCGATTTCAACAATCATTCGCTGCAAGATGAGGATTCTTCTTGCTCTCCCTTAATGGACCTGTTACAAGATTTATATTTCGCGTTTCTCGATTTCTCTACGGTCATTCCGCGTATTATCTCGCAGTTTCCTTAAATCGCACAATTTTATTTCTCCCACTAACTCACAAGAGTACGGAAGGAGCTCTCTCTGAGTTCTCCAGATTGTAAAATTTTCTTGATAAGAATATCAAATGTAGCCTGGCAAATTATTCAGATTCTCTTGAGATTAACTGATTTCTCTTCAACAATCGGAAAAATTCTACAGGATATTTCGTTTTGATTCACAACGAGAATCAACGTTACGTTCCACGTGTTTATTCTTCCAACGCGTGGCAACTGTCGCGAGTAAAGAAAGAAATGCGGCAAAAATGATATTAACGGTATTAATTGGAGAGGATATCGATCGATATAATGTGGAATAAAGTGGAAAAGAAAATATATAAAACGGAAGAGGTTTCGTTCACCTGTCGCTCTAATTCTTGCGCCGTTAAATTGCACTTGTCCCTTTCTTTCTCCACCACCTCCAACTGTTTCTTCACTTCGTAGGAACTCTGCGTCAACGTATCGAGCTCGCGCTCAATCTTTCGTTTCGCATGTTCGCTCAGTAGTAGCTCGCGATTCATTCGTTTGATTCGATCCAGAGCGGTTTCTTTACCGCGCGCGAGGGTATTTTTTTCCCTCAGTAATGCCTCGACGCGTTGCCGCTCATCCATGAACTCCTTACGGCAGGTACGCGCTTTGTGTTCTATGTTCTTCACATCGGTCACCGCTTGCCGTAAGTCCTGCTCCAACCTGGACCGCTCGCCATCGGCCTTCAGCAATCGCTTTTCAGCGATGTCCTTTTCAAACTTGCATTTGGTGCTGTCTTCCCGCGTTCTGAAATATTCTTTTATATGACGCACGCAAAACGAGGGAATAACTCCCTTCTCTTCTTTGATTACTTGTTAAGATCATATTTAATACTCTTCAACAGCTTCTCCCTGTCGGTAAGCTCCTCTTCCAGTTTTTCTATCTCGACGTTTGCATTATCGAGATCCGTTTGGAGATTCATTCTCTTTAGCATTAGCTTGCCGATCTCCTTCTGCATTTTCTCGCCCGCTGTTCTGTGTTCCTTCAGCAGGCTTTCGAGCCTCATCGCGTTATTCGCACTAGCTTCGATGGACGCGTTCGCAGCCTACGGGTTAGTTATTACTTGTTAACACTACTCTTAGGGAATATTAATTACGATTTTATGACATCAACTCCAACGTATGAATGAATTATATTTAAGTCACTTACCTGTCATTATTTTTCGGTCGGCTGCTTTATCTGTTTTGCTTTAAAGCCCCATCCTTACCTCAAGTTCGTCCTTCTTCACGGTTATTTCTTCCTGAAGTTGTCGCACCTCCATTTCCGCCCTCTCCCTGCCCCGTTTTTCTCGCGAGATCTCGTTCAGTTGCATATCAAGGGTTTCCTGCATTTCGTTCATCCGATGATCGGTTGCGCTGCCTTTTCTCTCAAGCTCCTCCGTATATGCCGACACGTTCTTTAGACGCTGCCGCATGGCCTCCATCTCACCCACGAGTCGATCCCGCTCCTTTAACAGAACCTCCTTCTGCTTGCTAATGGCAACGCTGCAATTTTAGTGAGTAAAACTCACCGTTAGATATTCGTAACGTAAGCATGAATTCGCCGCGCCGCTCCCTTTCCCAGCGTCGTTAAGAGGAGCTGCATTAAACGCGATTGAGAAATTACACAAATTATTCCATCATTAAATAAATAGGCTTCCCATCATATATCGAGTACTCGACTTGATGAACTTACTTATACCGCATTTTTTCTATGTTCTCTTCTGTTTTTTCAGAATAAAAATAATTGGAGGAGAAATCAAAGATCCGGTATCTTCCAGCGCTCATTTTCACTGACAAATTTTCTATTTTGAGACCCAATTATTTTAAACAAAACTCACTCCTTCTCGGCGGCCAGCTGTTTGTCCTTCTGCTCGATTTCTTGACCGAGTTTGACAATGTTTAATCGCAAATTCTCAATGACTTCCTGTGCGTTTTGCTCGCGTGAGTGCGCCGCGTCGGCTAGTTTTGTCGTATTCACGACTTCTTGTTTCAGTCTAGCTATTTCATCCTCATGGGCCTCTACCGTCTTCTTCAGCTCATACATCTTGTACGTGTTATTTGTGATTTCATCCTGGAATAATAATCCTCGTTTATATATAGACAGACTCTGCTTTCAGTTAAATCTCTTCCTTCCTGTGTGATCTTTAAAGAAACTGTAAGTTATCTCTTTCTCTGCGGTATCATACTTTCCTTTACTTCATATCCTGTAAAGCTCTTCGAGCAAGGCGCATCGTAGCTTTAAAATTTACCTTCAGCGATGTACACTGCTCCGACAGTTCCTTTTCATTTCTATGAGCTTTGTATAAAGACTCGTAGAGTCTCGCATACTCGGATTCGTAAGCAGCTAACGCCTCGTTAGTTTTCATTTCGCTCGTTATCTGAACAAACCAGACCAGATACAAAGGCCTTAAATATATTATATTTCATCGAAACTGTCGGGAATTTGCAGTACGCAAATTATCATTATATTCGTATAGTATCGACTTAAAGTAATATGAAAGAAGAATTAAAGGTATAATATCGTATAAGAGAGTAGAGTCCATCAATCGATCCAACAGTCGCGTATAAATGGCAAATTATCACACCAAAAAGTTTTCTCGATGATGACAAGAGCTGACATTAAAGTAGAAAAGCATTCTCTGATGTTCACTTCCGCGAACAAAGACCCTTACCCTTGCGTAATCCTTCTCTAAGTTGCAAAATGTGCTGCTTGCCGAACTGCCTTCCGAGGACGGCTGACTGCTTTCGCTTCCGTCATCCTGAAAGCATCGTTTCGTTACCGTGACAGAATATTTAGGGGACATGTGTGTCCTCGATCATCACCTATCCGCACTGCAGACGGTCGATTATATTTATTACATGTAAGATGAAACGTCAAAATGTGTTATAAAGTGTGCTCTTAAAATTCTTTCGTTCTTTGTAGAAATTTAGAATTTTGTAGAACTTTTTGCGGCAATTTAAGATAATTTTCTTCTTTTTAAACGAAGTAAATGAGGCCGCCTCGTGTTATATCGAAACAATTTTCCGTTGGTTGTCACGGTTATTTGCGAAAATAACTTTGAATTTTGAAAACTTTCCGATACATTGTTTGAAGTCGAGCGGGTAGGTTAAGTGATAGACGTGCTAATTAATTCTACTTTAACATCATCCTGCTGCCACATGGTCGATCGTTCTTCTTCCCGTTTCGCCTATTCCTGTTGGTCGGTATTACGTACTATTATAACCGCGCTGTGATGGTGACATTACCCTTGTGCCATGGAAAAACGTCTGCTGACTATGGAATAGCGCGATGTGTAAGAAAAATGAAAATCAATTTTAGTAATTTGACAGCGACTATATTAATGATCTATTAACAGCTATTAAATTTTTATCAAGCTTTATATATTTAAGTAGTGAACTTACATATAATATTACCATGGATCGCAGCGATATTTTCTTGTGGAAATTAATTTGAAAAAAGGATGAATATTTTTTTTGCATACTATACCTTGCGATACAAATAATTACCTATGAAGTTTCTAAAACGGCTACGACATTCGAACAATTTCACCATTTAATATATTTTAAATAATACATAAATTTACTTACACCATCCAAATCGGCATTCATTTCCATTTCCATCATGGTGTAACGAAATTAAAACTTCTTGACTAACGCGAGTGAATCTTATGGTATTTTAATCCGTAAACAATCACAACGCAAGAGAGATGTTAACTTATCGAAATGGCAATCACTATATTTATGATTGAAAGACTAGAAGCGTTTCAATATTGATTGATAATCTGTAAATTCCGTAGTACTCTTATGGCAACGTGTTAACTAGAATGTAACGGGTGGAGGAATGCTTCTGATGGAGGAGAGAACCGTGATATTTGTTGATTTGTCACCGTGACAACAAAGACGTTCTCATATCTACCATATCGAAGAGATCGATCGAGCTTTCTTAGAGTTTCCAACATATGGCTTCTTAAATACACACACGACATAATTTAAACACTTTGAATAACAAACTTTATTTACATTCGTGTTTTAATACATCCATTATCGAAATCACGATGCATTCGAATATTGGCAAGTGCACACTCATGATCCAATATTGCAAATAGCTCGTCGTTAACGTAAACGCACACACACGCATAAACGCACACAACATACACCAGTCAAAATCACACTCGTCCACAAGTATCTTCACACCTCGCTGCTTGTCTAAAATCATTGACTTTAACAAATTATACGTTAATTTTTCGGTTTTCAGTCGTAAGTAATTTTAACGTAGGTATAAACACCATTATCAATGATAATTAACCGACTATTCGGTATGGAACCTATCGAACACGAGGTATACACTTAGGAAAATAATACAAAAATAATTCTGAGGTACTTTTGTCGCCGCATTCGTCGGAATTTCTTAATTAATTGGCAGACCTAATAATCTCTTCGATGTGTCGAATGGACCAAAATCATCACATCACCGTCGTTATTTTATAAATAATAAAGTCGAAGAAGAGGTTAATAAATAAAATATCATTTCTTTCCGCAACTTTTTTGTAAGAAAATTATTACTTATTATTTTTCTTTTATTTAGAAAAGAAATTAAAAAGTCTGTTTGTTTAAAAAAATGAAGGAAAAGAAAATTGTGTTGTGCAACGCAAATGATCTTTGGTCCACTATATGTTTATTGTTCCGAATTTTCCACTATTGTTCTCTTCCCCACTCTCTCTCATTCCTCTTTTTCGCTTATGTACAGTATGTAATATATCCACAGGCTAACCTGCTAACATTAGGCACAGGGGAAATCCTGATTACCATGAGTGATAACGCACGCGTGTGAACTAGGGAGATGAAATGCTCGTCTCTCGTGCTAGTTTTGCGGATTTTAGCCAGTGAAAAGTTGCCTTCCTCCTCAAATTGAAAGCACGATATTCTAGCAAGGCATCGATTACGTGTAAAAAATAACTCTCCTTCTAAGCGTTTATATACTTTAAGAGTTTTAATTCTCTCTACTCAAGTTGCGATGTCCTTAAGGAAATAAGTTTCTTTCTTTTTTATATTAATTTTATCTGTCTATTACGAACGGCCTTATTTACTCTTCCACGGACACTATATAACAGTTTTCATTACAATTTATTTTTTGCAAATTATTAACTCATTCTTTTTCCCCAAAGAGTGGAAAATCTTACTTATAGTTTACAATACACACGCGATTATAATATACAACGATTTCCACAAATTCTCCAATCTATTCGTCGTTTCTTAGGGAACATTATTACATACATTACACAACGTCCATATGAAAATCGGTTATCTACTTATCTATAGTGATGTAAATACAAGTCTAAAGTCGCTCGAATTAATTGATGTTAATTGAATCTTGATGTATATTGATTGATGCACATCGGAATTCAATTAACCATCGCCTTTTTATCAGCATTGACCACGGCGAACCTATAAATTCACACGCCGCCAAATCCAAAATACAATGCAGCTATATTAATAAGTATAAAACTAGTAACGTTAATAAATTAACAATACGTGGTTAAAAAGGAAGATAGGGAAATCTATTATACGGAATTTTTTTTTAAATCGATTACGGCTTGAAATGATAACAAATAAACGATCTGTGCATTGAAACAGTCTTTTTTTCCTTTCTTTTTTCTCTAGTTAAAATGTACCGAGCGGCATATACACCTTAACGCTTATTTACTTAGGATATTTCCTACGATAATAAAACATGTATGACGACTGATCGTGTGAATACTGCGCGCTCTTTTATTTTTACAAACACCTTCCAATGTATGCCCAACGATAGGAACCAAATTCGTGTGTCGTAAGAAGGAGGAAACTTATTGTCATTAAATTTGGCACAGGAGCTAATTGTATGTGCTAACGCACCTGTGTGTGTGTGTGTGTTTCGAAATACCAGAGCAGGCAGTAGTAGCTTAAAAAAACTATCGCGCGGCAATAGTTACTCCACCGCTCATAAATATTGATTTATCTATACGTATTTTTATATTTCTTAAAGACGAGACGAAGGTTCGAGGCGAATATTTATGAGCGATAGTGAGTGCCGTGACGTGATCGTGTGCTTGCTTATTGAACTTTCGTTTTTTACACATTATCGCATTCGTTTGAAAGTGTATATTTACATTAGTGGACACATATATCATGCGTGGATACATACTATAGATTTAAGAGCGATGCGAAACTTTTCAGCTTCTCTTCTTTACGGAAGCCTTATCGGTACCTTTTATGAAAAAATATCTATCGACAATCGGCTCAAACTTACGGACTACACGCAAGTGTGTGGAATAAATTTTTTCTTATTAAGATTAAAGAGAAATCTAGATATTTTTAAGTGAAAAAAATCTTCACAACAAAACAACATTGATGTAATGTCGCTTACTGCTACTCTCATATTCCTCCATATTAATTCAAATATTAATGAGAGCAAAATATTGATTTTATTTTATTTATCGGAGCGAAGATGCTCTTTTTAATATATATGTGCGATCAGCGCTCTTCGGCAACTCTAAACAGTAATATATCGTAAGAGCTTATATGAAATGAATGAAATAAAAAAATATCATTGTTATTACTACAAATATATCGAAAACTCAATGATGCATTAATCTTACTTTTATCTTATGTTCAGGAATAGAGTTATTTTATGAATAACACGGGAAGAAAAGAAGTTTTATTACTTCCAACTAAACTCCAAGATAAATCGCTTTACAATAAGATATTCTGCATTTATAATTCAAAAAACTCTAATAATTCTCTAATTGAAGAACAAATTGTTCACCAAGACAAACAATTTTAAAAACTAAATTTATAATGATAATTAATCTTCACACTAATAATATAAGTAGAGGAAGAATATTAGTAATAACGTAAAGATACTCTTGATATGCAAATTATTGTCCTCTGTACAATTGTTTAATTAAAACACGAAGACAAGATCCTTTTATGAAATAAAATTCGAACGATTTGTAAGTAATTGTAAGATCTATACAAATCGCATTGTTACATATATTCGACTAACACCTTCTCAAACTATAATCTAATTACAATGTGTAAAAATATGAGCGATTAGCGCCGATATTTATGTATAATTTTATATTTTAAGTGCACGCGAATGTACAAACAATGAGAGCGAAGTAATGATCTAACGATTCCTCTTCGATTCCTCTCATTATCGCACACATATGCCTTTAAGGTTTCTTTTTTTTTACAAACTAATATATTGAAGAAACCGAATGCCATCAAATTTTCCAATACATATTATATACTATGGAAAAAAAAAAAATGGAGAAAAGGAGCAATCACTCGAGATAATTCGCTTAATTTTTTTGAATAATCGAATAATGCCTTGACTTACGAAGCCAAGAGATTTTTCATTACGTTTTTCTTCAATATCGAAGGAATATATTACATAATTACACAATTCCATCTGTTTCGCCAAGAGAACTTTAATGCGTCAATCCTATGATAAAAACAGTGATTTTATTAAACGGCCATCAGATTTTCACGCGAGTACGTCCATCGAAAGTAAATATAATGAAACAGAGAGATATACTAGGTTGTCCAGAAATTTGGATTCGATCTAATAAACAAATGCAAAGATGAATAAAAGAAAGAAGAGGAGGAGGAGAGAAAATTTTTTTCTATCTTTCCTCGATTATCGATAACGATATCACGATAATTGCGCAAAAAATTTGCCACCTTATCCACGAATAAAGAAAAGCAACTTTTTCTTTTTGCAAAAATTTAGATAATATGAAAAGGAGAATGGAAGAAATCCATCGAAGGAAAAGATTTCCTGACAACCCGTAAGAAAATGCATGAGAAAAAAGTGAAATCAAATAGGAAGTCAAAGGCAGAAAGCGGCAAGCACGTTCAGCTGGCGGGAGTGACTTGAGAAACAGTGAACGGCGTCACTTGGTACAAGAAACATCTGTTGCACACTCTGACGGGTTTCGTATGTCCATAACGAGGTAACGGTACATTGTTGCTGCTACAACGGCCGCAGAACACTTTGCCACAGTTTCGGCAGTGGTGCCTGCGTCGCACCACCGTGAATCCTGCTTGGCAGGCCATACATCTCGGCGCATCGTTGTCCGGCACCCAAGCGGGTGCTCTTTCCACGCACTCCTCTCCTCTTTCGGTGACGGGAGAAACTGTAAACGATGGTGATATATGGGCCGTTTGTTTTTTTGCTTAAACTTACTCGCTAAATGTAAGAATATACTGATATTGAATTCGTACGACACGCATATTTCCTGAAAGAGAAACTTGGTAAGTTAATTTGCGTACTTCGGTCATGCGTCAAAATGGATTCTTCCATATCTTCCTCGAATTCTGGCATCGATTCTTGTTGCCGATCGTGATTATCTCCCGTTTCCATCGCCTCGCTTAACGTATTATCCGTCGTAGACTGATCCGCTGAATTCTCGCGATCCTTCGATTCCGCGTCTTCAATGATTTGACTACTGTTCATAAGAAAAACGCATTTTAAGATGTTCCGCAGATCGGATGCAAAATTCGTTTGCAACTGATCCGCCACACCGGCTATACAGACGAAGAGACGGTGAACCAGATCTTCCGAGGACCTAGAGAAAAAAAAACGAAATTCTTATCGTTGTGCAATCTATCGAATCTTTTCTCTTCCGTCGAAATATAATGACGTTGTTCAACAGCGCGTGTGAAGTGTTCCTTACCGAAACTTGGCACGGATCTGATTCCTGTTTGCGATCTCGGCGGCCTGCATCGCTAGCGCAATCTCTTCATCGTCTTGACAATCGCTGTGAAACTCGCTAGTTTCTGAACTAGAATCGCCGCAACAGCTCGAGCAACTGGAGCTCGAAACCACGTCGGTGGTTTTATTGAAGTTGAGCGATTGATCGAAATTCTGCACACCGTTGACCAGTCTCACCGATCTCCGCGAATGATCGCCTCTCGCGGCAAACTCACGCCGAACGTTCGAACGTGCGGTCGAGGAAGTTTCCGTCACTAAGCCACTTTTATCCGTCCTCGGGCCCAACCCGTCGTTCATCATCAGATTATTATTCGAACTCGCATTCCCCAACTTCCTCTTTGTATGTGCGTTCACTCTCTCGTCCTTCCTCTTCATTTTAACGATCTGCTCGGACTTGGATCTTCTGTGGTCCAGCAACTTCTTGCTTCGCGGCGACGCGGAGCTTCGGTTCGCCTGCGTTCCGACGTTACAACAGCGTTGTCCGGGCGTGTTGCTACGCGGTGACTCGAAGTGGTGAAGTCTAGGACTCATATGCGGACTGTGACTTCCGAAGTTTGGCATCTGCCTGGTGTTTTGGCCGAGATGCAGGCTAGCGCCAAACCCAGCCAACCGAGACGGGTTCAAGCAACGATCCGTCGAGTTTGACCTGGAACCAGCCGTCGAAATCTTTTCGTTAAAATGATAGAAAATAACATTTGAAAAATGTCCGCTTTTCCTCTCAAATCTAATCTAATTTTCATCCGAATAGTACATATATTGATTTCACGCAATTAAACGGGAATTTTTACCTAGAACTTTCGGTACTCGTCGCTGACCGCAGATTCTTTTCCCCCTGATGTCTGCTATGATGAATTCTCTGCGCGGCACGATCCAGCTTATGCTGATGATGCCGCCGTCGCTGTCTCTCGTCTCTCGTTTTCCTCTTATCCTGCGCATACTTCTCAATCGTATCGCCTATCCTGTCGATATTCTGCGAAGTGGACGGGCAGTTTTCGCACTTGAGATCGCCCCAGAATTCTTTTCTGGAGCTCGACGCGTCGATGTTCAGATTGAGATTTTCCCAGTTCTCGGAGTAATTGATCTGAAAGGTGGAGGACTGATTGGCGTCGCAAAGCGCGAGGTGTCCGTTACCGTACGCCATGCCGATAAATTCTTCGTTAGTGCCGTCGAAGTTCGACGATATTCGTGGAATGTTCTTGCCGGTTGTCATCTCTTCGGCGTGCAACGCTTCAATGGAATGATCCAACGGCGCGCTCTTACTTCTCGTGCCGCATACGCATTTCTCCGAAACCCCGGAATTCGTTCTCTTAGTGGGCGAGCTCAGATTCGAGCACGAGTAACTGGTATTCTCCTGCGTGTCCTCTTCCTCGTCGGACACGCGTCTCTCTTCGTCATCCGGTTGGAAGGTCTTCTTTTCCTCCGGGCTCTTGTCGTACAAACTCGTGTTCTCGGACGAGATTACCGTGCATATTCCGGAGTCCGTTTGCTCCGAGATTTCGTTCTGGCACTCGCCAGCGACGTCCAACAGGAAGTTCGAAAGAGTCTTATTCGCTTCCGAGATGAGCTTCTTGGAGTCCATGTCGGGCAGAGAGTTCTGTATGTGCGCGGTCGCGCTGTCGCTCATGACGGAAGTGTTCTCGCGGGAGACCTGATTGAGCAGATACCGAGTGGTCTGCGGAATGTTGTTGGCGTCCTCCAACATCTGAGCTATGTTGGGGATGATGAAGTTTTCCTCGCTATCTCGCACGTTGCTCATCGCGTCTTGGACGGTATCACTATTTCCCGCTACGTCCAATCTGTCGCTGCCATCTACCATCGAGTCGAAGCTGTTGTTTTCGCATGTCGTCGAATTGCAGGGAAACTGTCTGTCGAATTTCGAATTCTCTTCGTCGCTCTGCGACGTTATATCATCTCTCAAGCATACGTTTAAGTCTTCGTGCCTACTTTCTGCATCCCTCCTCTCTTCCCTACGATCCTTCGCCCCCGGTCGATCGGACATTTTACCGCTTTCTTCGTCCAGCGACTGCACCGCATCGCTCGCCACCTCATCCATGTTGTTGCCCGCGTTTCTCGTCACAGTGTAAAAATCCACGATAAATTCTTTACAGTTCGGATAACCGGTATAAAAATTATGAACAAATTCCTCCAGGTCAGGTATATCCTGACATTTTGTCGACTGCGTAATCGAGCTTGATGGCTCTTCGTTCGAGCACAATAATTTCTCCAACATGTACAGCTCGCGATTGTTTAATGTCCACAATAGTTCTCTTATCTTAAGGAGAAGGGTCTGAAAAGTAAGTAGTCATTTTATTATCCAAATGCAAAGCAGCAAAAAGAAAAAGTGGTTTCTTCAGCGATAAATAGCTTGAAGATAAATAGCTTCTTACCCTGAACGGTCGAAACATCTCGCTTATAGTATCGGGCGAATTGAGGCACAACGGTCCTCCAGGCGGTGCTAAGAGTCCGGAGACAATGGCCAGACGAGGAATGGTGAACATTAAAGCTGGCTCGTAGTTATCCACGTCCGCTTGGTCCAACAGCCCACGTTCGAGTGCTCGTTGTAAAGTTTCCGAGAACAACACACATACAAGCTCCTGCTGTTCGTATTCCTTCGTCGATTTCACCGGCACCATGGCGCCGACATAGCATAGCTCAAAATCGGCGAAGAGTCGATCGAAAATCTTCAAGGACTCCACAAGCTTCTCCAGAGATGGCTCGAGTGGATTTTGCGTCTGAAAAAGATACTGTTAATACGTACAATTATTCACGAGATCGTGCCAAATCAAATCATTGATAGTCAATGCCCGTACTTTTAAGTTCATGTGGCCCTTGAGTGCATGTTCTCTCAATAGGTTCCTCACGATTTCCAGCGATTTAGTCAGAGCTTTCGCTAGCGGCCTCATGGCTGAACTTTCAGCTTCTCTGTTCATGATTGATGAACCAGCAGCTAGACATTCCGCACCGAACCACAGCTGTCCGGCCAGATTTTCCTGCATAACATCGTCAGGAAACTTTACCCGGAAATCCCGATTGGCTCTGCTCTCTGGGATCAAGTCGTCCATTATTTGATTGCAGATCGTCAACACCTTGTCCTGACAATGTCGCAACTGATTCACCAGCGACGTGCATCTCTCTGGTTCCTGGCGACCGTCGAAGGAGTCCAACTCGCAGGCGACCGCGTTCAACGACTCATCGGCATAAAAGAACTGAGCCAGCAAACTCGTGTCATCCCTCTACACGGAAAACATTTATTTATAAGATATTTGTGCATGAAAGAAAAGTATCTACAGAGATGAGTATTCATTTGAGAGAGAGAGAGAGAGAAATATTCCCCAATATTTTTACATTCTTTAGAAAATACTAATTGAATTATCAAGACGTCGAAATCTTTATTATTTTTATCATACCAAAATCTTTCATTAATATTGTTTCAATAATAATTCAACGATGATTAACATTGTTTCAATATTGGAGCGGTTAACTCAATAATGCTCGCGATAAGATTGCGTTCTCCTCGGTCCTTGAAAAGTGTGGTGACTTGAAAAGAATGGTGATTTTCCGCTGGTATATAAGTGCAAGTCGGGTAAGTCTGGGTACTCGCGGTATTTATAAACCAACGATAACACGATGAGGCACTCGTCTATCTGAACAATGACACTGTTCGCACCTACGTCATAATGAAAGGGGACGATCACGTCACAATTAAAGGGTAATGCGGTGATGATCGGACCCTTCATTCCTCTTGAATGGGCCTGTTACTGCCAATACAGACTCGAGAGTGAAGTCTTTTTAATCGAAACATCCAACTTTCATTCATCGACTTGACAATTGCTTTGTTCTATACGTAGAATATGACGAAGCAAGCTTGTATGGTTTAGCTGTCAAAAATAGTGGGGAAAATGAGTTTCGTTCTTGAAAAAGTAAGAAAGCAGTGAGTCAGCTTTGAAAAAAAGTGAGCGAAAAGTGAGTTTTCCAAATAATTTGTACGTTAAAAATTAGCTTGTTCGTCTAATTATACTGTTCCTCTAAGAGATTAAAAACGTTGGTCTTGTAGTAAAATTCAACGAAGAGCAAAATACTCATTTGGGAGAACAAAAATGTTACAAGATACATTAAATTTATTTTGCTCAATCTCTTGTAAATTTTTTAATACAATAACAGGAATTTCATTCAAAAACAGAAATCAGATTCTTCGTATTTTTTTCAAATATATTTAATGAAATGAAATAAGAAAAACATTATTTCAGTCCAGTTAAGTTACTGCTATTGCAATATATAAGAATGTTGAAATATCCTCGATCTTTTCCTTAAATAAAAATAAACTTTAGAAACAAAGATATTAAACTACGATATTTTCCGCTGAAATTAAAAGTTAGTCAACTTTTTAAAAATAATATTCATTAATATTCAATTAAGAAAAATACGTTCGTGACGATCTGTTTTCCTGCATTCGTTCGTTGATAACTCATGTTGGCTGTGTGGGCAAATACGAATTTTAGTTAGACAAACTTGGACAAATCGCAGTCAATTGATTCCATTACGTAATTTAAAGAAAACACAGTTATAAGTGTGCTCATTGTGCTCAGTGTGCGGTCATTGTCTGTTTTTCTAACAAACCTAATAGATGAAAAATCGTACTTTGTGGATATTGTGTTGTCGGAGTCATTATTACTTCTTGTTTTCTTTGTATTTTTTGCTCTGCCTAAAGAAGCCAGTTATTAAACATGATTTTTTGGGATTGAGTTTTTTTTACGAAGTTCAAAGTTACGAGAAAAATAAAAATAAGATGTCTCTAAATAAATGACGTGAAAAAACGAGTCGCTTCCATACCTGTCTTATCGATATTAAATAATAGAAAATAATTTTCGTAAAATACGAGTGTGTTGACAAGTAAACTGCTTAAAATTGTACCGCTTGAAATTGTATCGCTAGAAAACGAATTATTGAATCATATCTTATCGATGAATTATTAAATTAATCTTAACACAACATATCTCATCTACTTATTAATTTTTATTTTAATGTTGACTATTGAAAATTCCAATCGTATGTTTGGGGATTCCTTGGCATATTGTAATTTCAATAAACAGAAATATGTACCTAAAAAGAAGTTAAACTAATCGTGAGATCGCTCAACATGTATTATTCACGGATCATCGATTGTGCAAAGTTCAAACACGGATTTATTCTTGTCTTATCGATGGAGAGGTACATTCATTATCTTATAGAAAATATGTTTATAATAAGAAAGTAATGCACGTGGTAAATTTTATATGAGATTAATGGCTCGCGATATACATTTTAATATTAAATCGTGCGTAAAACACAAACGAAAACTTGAAATATCTTTTTTCTCGTGGGAACGATTCAACTCCTCAATATTCGACGCTACTGATATTTAAGTATAACGCGTTCTATTCGAAAGTATCGGACTTTGAGCCTGAAATCTTACTTTATAATAATAATATAGATGCTCAAATTGACTGATTGGTGCACGCGAATGTGTCTTTAATTAATTATACATACATAATGTTTTTTTCCAGAAATTTGCATTTTTTACTTTCTGTCAGATTTTTGACACACATTTCTAGCCTTATTCTATATTATGTACACGCACGTATAGTCTCCGGAGAGCCGCAATGCATCGTGTGAAATTTTCACCAAACAAGTGGCAACAGCGCGTGAAGAGTTCACAGAGAGTGATGACGCAGGAGGAAGGAAAGGAGGGAGAAAAAGAACAAGTGCACACGTTCGATTAGCGCAGTGTCGTGTGTGCGAAAAAAAAGAAGAAAAATCGGATTTTTGTCATTTATTTGCGATTAATCTTGTTATATATTATTACAAAGATATAAACATTCATATTTGGATCCAAGCTCTGACTGAAGAATTTGCTTTCAAACCGTCTTAAATCTATACTGTTGAAAAATCGAATCATATGCTTTTGAGATTAGAAAGAACTCTCCACATATCTGTATAATCATTACGCATCCTTAATTAAAAATATAAACTGACGATGTAAAAGTAAATTCTTCAATTAATATCTTATCCACTTTAGATTAAATTTTTCACCACATTAAGCGATTAAGGAACATAAGATTTGTGAGGATTATAATTTCGATTGGAACATTCTCGGTAAGAAATTTTCTTCTTGATAATTATTGAAATTAGGGATAATTTGCATTAAATGTTAGGTCCACAGTTTGAATTTGCAATACCGTGATATTATTCTCATCTTATAAAATTTGTCTATAGATCGAACCAACCTTCCCTAACCATCACCAATACCACCACCACCATCAGCACACAAGTAGTCATATAACCTTTTCCTTAAGAAAATATATTAGAAAATGTAGGAATTGTTTCATTTCACTATAAGATTTGAACTTTATATCCGAAATTTTATATAATATACTTTATCCGATAGACATCCTGTGAACGTCCTTAAAACATAAGGACATTCTTTAGAACGTCCTTTGGAGGTTTGTGCTGTATGGAATAAGACGGAAGAAGAGTGAAGAAAAAGAGCGAAAAGCACAGAAAAATAGAAAACTAAATTCAGTTTCAATAAATCTTCAACTCAAAATATAAGCGAGGAAAGAAATAATACTAGAATGCATAACTTTGGATTAACTTATATTTTTAGCACTTTGTAAAGAGAAGTTAGAGGGTCACAGAACGTACAAGAATAAAAGAGCGTTAAAAGCACAGTTTTTTTTTAGCAACCATGATTATTATTAATTTAGTATTCTGATGTTGGATCTATAACCTGTATTTGTGACAAATGAATGTGTAAGGTGGAAAAGGGTAATAGATAGATAGGCGAACCTAAATATCCTCATGATTAAGTGGAATCGAACGAGAAGAGCGTAAGCTAAACACACAGCAATGCGTGACGTATTATTCACCTTAGGTCTGTAAAACCATTTTCTGATGGACTCCATATCGCGAGACGGCAGCTGACGTCATCGATGGCGACGAAGCGTGTGTGCTGCACTGACGAAATCGTCGTCACTGTACTTTCCGCGATCGAAACACCACTCGCGTTGTCGACGATGACATGTCCTAAAGATTATCAAGCGACAAGTCTCCGGCCTGGACAGGCGATGATGATGACAACGACAAAGTGAAGATGAAGACAAGTGCGCGCGACGACGATGATGAGAGGTACGACGATGACGACAATGATGATGACGATCAACGGCGACGACGGTAGGACGCGATCTTACGTGTACCGCGCGGTACTCGAAAACTTGACGAGCATCGACAACAACCTGCGACTTGTCTGCTTGCGTTGCGTTGCTCGTTTCACTCGCGGAAACGCGTGTCGACCGAATCACGCGTTCGTAAAAGTGAGCTGACAAGCGCTCAAGTCAATCTGGAAAAACGCAGTCATTTAAAGCGCATGCGTACATTGAAGCAACGCGACAGTCTTGTCCGCCTAGATACACATACTTGCTACAGATTTCAGTAAAACACTGGTGTGTACAAACGGCTTCAAAATATTCTGTAAACGATTAAATTCAATTATTAATCAAACTCCCATGTACGTGAGTTCAAGTGATGTGCAAAGAACCGAAAAGAAGATCTGTTATTTTCGGAGCTGCACTTTTTCTGTACTTTTCTTTCCTTTTCCCTCTCTTCAAGTTTTTACATTTCAAGTTCAAAAGTGCAGCATAGTGTAGCTAAACAGGACAATCTCTAGGGAATGTAGGAATACAATGTTTTCATCCGCACTTTAAGAATACTTCATATTTTGACATCATGAACGTACGAAAGCACGCATGCTCCGGTATTTTATTAATATTATCACACATAAAATAAAAGAAACAATGATGATTCAATCTAGTATAACTTTAAAATCATGCGAATTCACGAAATAATCTCTTACGTGTTATTATACGCATGTGTAATCACTGTTTTAATTACTTAATCTGGCTTGATAAGCCATACAGTGTGACTTGTGTGTTGGACCAATTTTCGCACAATATCAACTAATATTAATTGCTAGTAATAACTGGTCTTATCATTGGCGCCAAGAACATGCTTGCCTGCCACATATATATTACCGCAGGTCAGTGCCTCATGAAGGGTTATATAAAGCATCCCGTCGGTTGACAAACCGAGTCACTTCTTCGGTAGAACCCTATACTGAAACACACTCCGAGCAACGAGAACGAAAATCCCGTTGTGTTAAGGTGTGTATATATTATGTTGCGTTTACAATTTAATGTAAAGCGCTGAAAAATTATTTTTATATCAATCAGTCATCGATCACTTATTTGGAAAACGGATAATGCTATTTTACAATCATATTATAAATATATTAATACATATTATATATTCCTTGCACTGAGAAAGAATCTATAATATAATGTTTTAACTGTTTATATTATTATTTTATATTGTTTATATAATATAATAATGCTTTCAATTTAATCTATATTCTACTTCGAATTAGAGAAATCTTTTTCTTTTTTCTTTTTTCAAGAAAAGTTTCCTTCTTTAGAGAAGGTTCTAACTTGTTGGAATTCTAATTTACTCACTGTAGTACACTGATCGTTGAACTTACGTGTGACGCGTTGAAAGTCTCTCTCTTACCGACCATTGATGTAACTGTGCAGTGGAGGAATTCTAGAATAAGACACAAAAATACGAGCATCCAAAAGTGCAGCGTGTATTAAAGATGGCGTGGCATTTGCAATTCTATTTTAAAGTTTAAGAGTAACAAAAGACATTTTTTGAGATTAAAAGAAAATAAATATAAAGTTTAAGATTGACAGGGAAAAGGGTAAAGAAAAAACGTTCTTTCCATCATTTTTACTGTCGGTACAGCATAAAAACACTACTCTTCGTGAAATTAAATTTTAAAGTAATTAAAAAAAAGGGGGAAAAATTACTCATTATATATGTAGTGAGTAAAAATAATATTAATACGTCTTCTTTGTAATAATTCTATATCAGAGATGGGAAATAATGCCACACCAAGAATTTCGTTTGTATTATATTCAGGTAGCACATATCCTGATAACACATTTTAAGATGTGCTCAGATATGCATTTTGGAGTACTCCCCAGGACATGCATGGCATAATTCTGAAGCATATTGTGCTAACTAGATTAGTCCTTTTCGTTTATATTAATACATTGTAAATCGAGGTTCTTTTTTGTAACAGTTTTGTTATGCGACGGTGTCTCAAAATATTGAGATGTACAAATACTTGATGTATCTGCTGTAGTTTCACTTTCTAAGAAAAAAAAAAACCAATTTTGTTTTTTTGCAAACAAAGTCATTTAACGGGATAATTCAGCCAGTCGCCGTTATTATAGATTCTTGTGCCGTGGGAAGTAATCATGTGTACCAATCGAGGTATCAATAGAGAAAATGATACATGATAGATTTATACGGGAAACGTAAAGACGGGACCAATCCAGTTGTAGAGCTAATGGATTACGAAACAAATTGGCCGTAAAATGGAAAATCCGCAATACACATTCGACGTTCATTCGTAATGTACACCGCAAAATAGATTATTTCCCTGCATTTTTTTAATCCCGTTTCATCAAACAGTGCGAGTACACATATTAATTCGCGCATTCTACAAAAGTTGCAAGAGCTAAGAGATGACTTATTCCATTCGAAACGATCTTATTCAATTAATTAATTTTTATTAATTTCAGGAAAACACCGCGATACGCTTCGCGTTAATCGATGAATTTATTAAATATAAATTAGCCTGCGTATGATATAACGAGACGTCTTTTTGCCTTAACTTAAATCCGAAGTATTATCTTTCTCATTTCGCTACAAATTAAATAGCGATTGATATTATTGGCACACTCGGTGCACCGCGTGTTTGTTAGCGTTCCAGCGGCAACTCGGAGACGAAGAGACGCTTCATCTCTATGCAACGGAGATGCCGGTCACGTCGCTTATCTGTTCGGACACTTAGTAGCACTTACCCTTATCTTAATGACTCGGAGGACGCTCGTAGCGTTAATGGTCCTCTTAAAATTAGCGCGCGGAACGCCGAGAGCATGCGCTCCAAATTTTCGAAAAACGTCATTCACTTTGTACAAATAATCTACGTGTTAACTGTGCATCCCTTGTCCTATTTTCCATAGCTATCGAACTGCAAATAATCGAATATAGCCGGCATGCAACTTGTAAGAATTTACCAGTTTGAAAAATTGGTCTTGTGTGCTTACGAATTTATTATCAATTTTCCGTATCTAGGATCTTTTGGAAAATATGGATTTGTACATATTTCTTTAACGTTAAATCGAACAATATTTTTGGTACATCGATCAAGTAACATATAAAAGCAATACAAATGTAGCTCAGAATAATATTTCCGCTATAAAAATATATCCTTTAAATGAAGACTAACGTCCTCTCTTTATATGTTTCGATAAATGTGTAGGCAAAATAACGTGCCATTATTTCAATGTATTTTTAATAAACAAATTAAAAAAGTAACTTTTTTTCTCATTTTCATGTTTTCATTCACCGTCGTATTTGCTTCTTGTAGATGGCCAATTACAGATGTATACTCGCCTTTCTCATCTTATTGTTGGTTATGAATGCCGTATTTTGCCAAACTTTCCAATATAGTCGCGGGTGGACTAACGGAAAAAGGTCGGAGTTTCCAAACTCCGCGGAGGTATCCAATTCAATCTCAGACGAGGGTTTCACCAGCAACGAGCTCAAAAAGCTGAAGATGTTGATGCATGGAAATGTCGATGAACAAGTAAAGTCTATCATTTATAGCAAAGTGATATCCGCGAATTATTTATTAAAATCTAATTAAATGTATTAGACAAATTATATAAATGCATTGGCGATAAATGTCGATTTAATATAATCTTGTTGATAATTCTGTTTATTATAGAAAGTTGCAACAGATTTTATGAGATATTTCAATAAATATTTTAATATCTTCTTTGCAGCCACTGTTGATTCATTGCGATTTCATGGATAAACTGAGAAAACTATTTCATTCGGATAATTATGCTCCTCAATTACATCGCGAAAAAGGACAAAATGATGATAACTACTGAAAGAAATACATTCGTCATGATAGTCGGCGCAAACTGATCCGTTTTATCGATGCAAACTATTCGGATCGTAGATTTAGTTATTTAATTATAGTCAGGTCAAAATAAATTATTACTGCCCCGTAATTTCTCAATGAAAATTTCTACCCTTAACTTATGCCAGGTAAACCGTATCACATTATATCACTTTTTTGAAGAAGAAATTCAAAAATGCTTAAACTGGACGGCATCGTTAATATAATTTAAATTATCTAGATCTTTCATGCTTAAAAATGTATTTGAATAAACTGTAACTAACGTCAGGCGATATGTGTATTATGAAAAAGTACAAAAATAAAAGCTATTTGGCTTTTGTTTGCAATAAATATTATTTTGGCTTGAATTTAATATCCCAACTTTCCCAACAATAAAATCATTAAGTTTGTTGTGAGTCGATCGAAAAAATCAATCATTAGCTTAATTTGAAATGTCAGTTAAAATTAAGAATGTGCTCTTATTTTATTCGAATAGTACGATTATATGTAATTCGTTCGAATCTATTCTCCGAACCCTATCGACAGAATACTGTCGCAGATACTGACTGGCTCCCAATATAAGGACGACAAATATTACGCACTACTTATAGATAAAAAATTGACCGAGGTCATGAGCAAGTTGCAAGCGAATGCCAGTCGAGGAACGATTTAATGCTCAGCAAATGGCGGTCTTGAGAAATTGACGCCGTAGTGAAACAACGTGAGGTTGTGTAGAATAAAGCATAGAGAAAGAATAGTTGATGGTGGGAGACGAATCTTATGATAATAGAAGAGGGAAAAGGTGGAATAGAACCCATGTCGTGATCAACTTGTTTTGTCTTTAAACGTTTCGTGAAAAAATGGCTGGACACGATTTACGCTTTGATTATAGCCCAGCGAAACATAGGTCAAAAGTCGAAGAAACGAAATGACTATCGATACCGATGGGAGCGATAGGACCAAGTGGAGAGATTATAGGTAACGACTAATAATGCAGTCTCGATCTCCGTCGGTATACATATAAGAACTCTTTCAAAGGCTGCTCGAAGCATTCGATCACCAGCCCCCCCTCTTCCTTTTGCCGCCTACCACGCTATATTCAATTCCCGTTAATCCTTTCGTGGATGTACGTTTTCACACACGTACTCGCTCTCGCACTTGTACATTTTATATATACACATATTATATATGAAATTATGTATATAGATTAATGAACCTCTTTCATATCTCCCTTTGAAAAACACAAGTTTGATCCTTCTTTGACAAAATCCATAAAATAATAGGAAGCCGAATATAGAATAAAGGGTTGGTACGAGTTGGTACAATGTGACACAATACAGCGAGATAAAAGAAAAGAATTGAAAAAAGTAAAGTATTATTCGAGAAAGAAGAAGAGAATGTGTGTGGGAGAGGAGGAAGAGAAAGAATGACAGAGCGGAAAGAGGAGAAGAAGAAGAAGACGGGTGGGAGAATGAAGAAGGGAGAAAGAAGGAGAAAAAGGGAAGGCACTCGTACACGTTCAAATTGCCCAGCCATTAACGATACTATGTTATTACGCTTATCCTTTTTTGCTATCCACGGCCTCCATTCGCGCGCACGTTCACAAGCACTTGGCGTATAAGCGTCGGCCATCTTGGAATATGGAATTGAGAAAGGAAAAGGGCAAGAGAGAGAGAGAGGGGGGGGGGGACGAACGAGAGCGTGTCGTCGCGGCGCACCGATGTTCTCTCATCGCACCGATGAAATTGATCCGTCGACGACGATGCTGCAAATCGATCGATTAACAAACCGCGGAACGTAATATATGAGAACAGTTTATTTCAGGAATTGAAACAGATATAATTTCGGACGCGTACATTATTTTCGGCACGCACGTTGCGATACATACATAACATGGGGTTGTTCGCGGCCAATTATTGCTTTATTTCACACTCGTGTCATAAATGAATATAAAAACATCGTTGCCATGCGTATAATCGTACAATCAAAACTTTTATCGATAGAAATTATGCGGACGAAATTGTGTACAATATGTTTTGAAACTTAGTTCATCTTCTAGTACTACAGATTATTATTTCGGCTACACCTTGAAGAAACAATCAAAACTTTGAATTAACTAATGATCTTATTATAACAACCATTTGCAGAATTCTTTATTTTTATAATTAATTAATTTTTCTCGACGTTTATTAAATTGTTTATTATTATGTACGTTATAAGCGGCAATAACAATTAAAATTATTCACGTATGTAAATTTGCTGTATGTAAATTCCTCATACGTAAATTTATCAAATACATGTGTCCACTTCCATAGCTGCTGAATTATTTCCGATGGGCGTTGAATATTTATTTCACGTTTAAAGGTGTGTCATTCTGATTCTGGTGCTTGGAAACTGTGTCCTACGAGAGAGAGAGAGAGAGAGAGAGGGAGAGAGAGAGAGAGAAATCTAAATTCTGGTCGATTTTATAAATGTATAATGAAAAAGTACGCGTAATGTGCGCATCGTGTTGCATCCCGTCGAAGGTTTTAAAAAATAAAAAAAAAAAGATACAATCGGTACCAATCGCCGAGTGCGAATGGCCGCGCAAATAGTAAAAAAAAAATCGATTTCTCTTCAATTATTCAGTTAAATCGCTGAATATCGGCAAATCAATGACTAGAGAGTGGCCGAATTTCTTTTTGTTACTCGATCGGTGGTGTGTATTCGCACGTATTTTCTCTTTTCGTGACAAACGCGAACGCAGTTATCGACACATGCGACACGCAAGGTACACTCGTATATTTTGCGGGACGTCAAATATTTCGCCGTCCGTAAATTGGAAATGCAATTAACACCCAGCATGGCATTAGTCGAGTTCCGAATCTGCTCTCGTATTTTTTCATTATCTCTTATTTAACGCCGATCTGCAATGAGACGTATTTTAGGAATTTTCCACGAGCGACAAAACCAAATGTTACGCTTGACGTTTTACAACCAATTCTTTTATTTATTTAAATGTATATGACACAATGACATCGATTCGATAACGATAAAACGCACAATAGATATACTTTGTTAGGAAACCTTTAGATAACATCTGAGAACTTCTTATTGTGTATGTATGTGTGTGTGTGTGTGAATCCTGCTTTTGTATTATTCTACTTAGTATCTGAAATAGCATTATTATATATATTATTATATATTAATAATCCATTTCAATACATCTTATAATTTTTATTGAAGACCAAAAATTATATCTAGAGGATCATTTCTAGAGGTCTACAAATTTGGTTCCACTTGCTTGCCAACTATTTACATTCGTATGTCTCAGTGCAGTGATTTAGTTGTACAACCAAAAACTGTCTACAATAGCCAGTGTATCGAAAAATTTCAATGTCGCCGTAAATTATTTTCCCTTTCTCCAAGTTGTTATCTTCTAAATTTTAACGGAAAGAATTCTGTATACATGTAGTACTTGGGCGCGGTGCAGAGATTAAACGGTGCACTACGCTCCAGTACGCGATTACGATCCGGCAGTATGCGATTGGTCGGCGCTTCGTCGAACGGCAGGGGCGGAGCGACTGTAATGAGTTTCTAGCTTAGTACTCTCTCTCTCTCTCTCTCTCTCTCTCCAGCTTCGTATCGCACGCGTTGCTGCGCTTTGCTGTCTGCCTTCATTCTAGTTTGCTCCGTTTCTTCTTCTCGCTCGTTCTTACACATTGTCATAGGGTTCATATATCCTCTCATTCTGCTCATACAATGTAATCTAATCAATGTAATATATCTTTTTTGCAAAATTTTGCATACTATTTCCTTTTGTCTTCCATCGACAAGACATTTTGCGTGCTGCTCCCTTCGCCGCGATCGTCTCAAGAGTGGCCATTGTCAGAAAACCTCTTGACTGTTTAATTGCCAAAATGTTTTATTCTTATAAGAAACGTGACCAAGAAGTGTACATTATAGGATGTTCATATTTATATAGTATTCTCATCAATTGTACGTTACTTCGACTATAAATTTGTGGACAATATAAAATCGAATTTTTCTCGGAAAAAGTAAAAGCGAATTTATAATGATTTTTCAATATATATATAACATTTATAAAAAAAATACAATGTTACGTATTTAATTTTTATATTTATTTCTTACTACCGCACCGACTCACATGCGCCATCATCATAGTAGATTACATATGCGAAATAACGCAACGTTAATTACGGTTGATTGCGAATGTCTGCTATGATTTTACGAGATAAAGCTTCAATCCTCGCTACTTACATCACGCAATTTGTGAACCCGCGCATGAACATCGGGCATACTCATTTCTTGATATGCGGCCTACACGTAATCGGCCAAGCTGTGCGTCGCTATTAAATCCCTCAATTTATTGTTCCTTTTTTGATTTGCCGCGAGGGTTGCTGTTGATCAGCCTTGTACGGAATAAACATCACATTCGTTCCATCGAGGAAGAATGAATACAATTTCCTTTCTAATAAAATTCTTGTGGGAAATGATTGTTAACACTAAATTGGAGAAAATGAACAAACGTTACTTAAGGAGTCAGGCCATCTTGGATGTTTGAAAACGTGGACCATTTTTTATAATTTACTTTAGCGAAATGATAAAAACAATATAGAATGCATTAAATACATAAGTTAAATTGAACTTTAAAGTACAAAAAACCATTTTTTTACTCAACTCTTGTTTTTTACAAAGAAATTTTGAGAAATTACTCAGATCAAATGCCGACCATGCGAATCTATTCGTGCGAGAAACATATTCTGAATACAAAAGTAGAGGATTAAATTTTATCAATTTTGACTTCGATGGAAAGCTCAATGAAAATATATTTTTAAACATATTTTTCATTGCATCTGCGATACCCTTCAATTAACACCTATTTATCGTTTGTTGTGAGTTGTTTCACGCCGGAAATAATTTTTTATAGTCGAATGGTCTTTTGCGCGATCAATGTTGACGCGACGAGTTCTTGAAACATTGAAAAGTTCATTGATGCATCTCTATCGTTGGCTTAATGCGAATGAGCCAGTATCCTTGTCGACACTGCATTCTTCATGAGAAGAGTAACACTTCGTCCAAAACGAACACGTGACAAACGCTCGATGTTTTGCGTTAAAAATATCCAGACAACCCAACAATATGTATGACATTTTTCGTGTATAAAATTTTAGAAATTCCTTTCTAAAATAATGTTGTATGTTTCCAGGAATAATCATAAATATGTTGGAAATCTCATAAACTAACACGGTTGTGTCAGAATATTATTTCTTGACCCTTTGTTGAGCACCATGGTTTGTCTTT